CCCCCCGGAGGTCTTCGCCCATCTCCTCCAGCCGTCTTTTTCGCGCAGACACAGCAGCCACTCTCTTGATCTTTTTACGCTAGCGTGTGTGAGAGCTGGTGCGCCCGGCGCAGTTGTAGACGGCAAAAATAAAAGAACCGCGCGGCGAGTTTTCCGGCAACGATGAAATACAGTAAACTGCCCGCGGGGGTGGTAACCCGCCGCATCTGTTATGTTTCGGAGCGTGATGGCTCTGATGTGTTGACGATGGTGTTGTGATAGCTGTTGTGATGACGTGATAGCTTAAAGGCGTGACAGCCTGGCCGCTTGATAGCTGGTGGTTATGTAGTATGGACACGGGCGTGATAGCCCAGAGCGTGATAGCCGGGCAAAGGAAGATGAAAATTATTCTCCAAGGGCACGTGGCCAGCGCCGTTGCATGCAGACACGTATACCCAGAAAACAACTATATGTGGCAAAGATGGTACCACCATTCCCCCAATTTATCACAAATGCGGAACCCCCAAATTCGCCCGCTCCATCTGCTCGGAACGATCCTTGATTGCAATATTCTGTCAATGCTGTTAGTACATCCAACATCTCTGTTTCCGGACCTTCGAATATGTTTTTCTACAGCAGCATCTAAACAACAATCATTCACACATTACATGCGACAGTCTGCCGCTGTATCCATCTCAGCAAACAATCCCACCACAGCGAGAGAGACCGGTACATACACGACAATGAGCAGTGTCCAAGAGAGCGTGTGGTACCGGACTGTCGGTGCGGGCCCCACCATCCATGACAGACAAGCGACCTTGCGTCAAGCTGTGCCATGGGTTTGTTGCTGCTGCCGAACTATCCACGAACCACCTTGATTCGCCCAAGTCTCGCTCCAAGTTGTCCAGCTGTCCATGCATGTCCACAAATATTTCGTTCTTTCGGTGGAAACTAAACATTACTTCGACTATTAGTCTATTCCGGTGGAATATTGTAAAAGGATTCGAAAAAACACCGGCGACATCTATCGTGCTATCATGCATTACGTACATTTAGAGAATAGGAAAAAATATACATGTATAAGAGCTCAAGACGCGGGGGACTACCACCCCCCCCGTCCTTCGATTGCTCCGCCGCTCACCCTGTGAGGTGTACACGAACGTTATTGGGACATGTCAAATGAAAATAAAAGCAAGTGGGACGCTCCTTCCTGGTTGTGAAAATGTATGAATATCTGCCACAGACAGACAGACGAAGATGGAGCTGTAATCTCACCGGAGTTTGGTGCGATGATGAGATTGACGCGCTCCTCCCAAGAAAACACCGATGATGTAACGAAGAGTGAACAGAAAGGTATTCTCATCGTGGAGGACATCCCGGCCGCAGACAGACGTGCACGTCGACGATGCCGAGCTCAGGGCATTTCTCGACGAGACGGACGGATCAATCCTAAGCATCCGCATGGGGTGCGAAATTGCTGGCAATGTTCTCGGGCTTAGCGCTTCGTGTGGTGTTTGGTTGGAATGGGAGGGAGCAGGTTGCTTGTACACAGCGTTCGGCATTAGTCTATAGGCACTCTATCTCGTGGAGCGGCTGGACTTTTCTTTTGTCACGGTGTGTTATCGAGGCACGCATCATACGCCTGCAGTTCGTTAAGCGTACCTTGGACGTGATACATACACACAACGGAGAGGTTTTTCTGCGTGTCGCCGGGGGGAGGGGCACCCAAGTATGGAGGTGCTACGAACAAGAGGCAAGTAGGTTTGGTCGGAGCATAGTTTCGTTAAGTTGAGTCTCCGTATGCCCAAGAATGTGGGCTTGACCGGGCACATCCAAGTTGCGTGAACCTGAAGGCAAAGGTTTCGATTTTTGGTTGTGAAGGAACAGGTTGATGCATTGTGTTTTGGGTTATTTTTGTGCAATATGTTCATAGATCGTGTGGTTCACGATGCGTTCTGAGTTGGTTGTGCACGTCGTGAGTACGTTTCGCGATGTCGAAAGTGGTCGTCCAGGTTTGGGTTGTGAGCCCCAATATGGTGGATTTTTATTGATGGATTGGGTTTTGGGATGCATCCTCCTGTAAATGGTGTCGATGAGCGATAAGTGTTTTTGTACGTGTAGGAGCACCAAATGCTGCTGCGAGGGGCGCGTCAAAAACATAAATGAAAGCAATTTTCGAAAGGAAAATCTCATTTTTTTCGGCGCCGTTACTACAACTGTCATTGTCTCTACAGGGTTTTTCCGGGGTGTGTCCCGCGCGAGGGTCCCTGATTGGCAGGGTACGCACAGGGTGTGGGATCGGTATCGTTGCAGGGTACCCACCTTGGAGCCGGGTCAAGCCTGCAAGGTCGTCTTTGAGGTTGGCCTCGCCAGGGTGATATCTCCCCACCCTGGCAGCGTAGCCGAATGGCTACAGGTGTAGGTGCTACTGCTGCAGGTTGATATGCCGGTGGCGAAGTTCTAGGATGAAGTTCCCACGGCGCCGGCACTTCGTCGGCCGTCCATGGGCATGCCCATCGGCCACCCATAGGCAGCCCATGGGCTGCCCATGGACGGCCTATGAGGGGCGGCCGATGACGTGCCCATGGGCGGCCCATTGGTGACGCGTGAGTGTCTATTTGCAAACCGTGAGTAATCTGGGAGATTGTGTGGGACGGACGAATAGGTACATACACAGCACACACAGGCAGGGATGTATGTGATAGCACCGGTACGACATGTTGGGTGTACCGTGTCATTCCAGATTATCAGGACACAGGTCGTGTGGAAAGTGCCTCACAGGAAATACTGAGTGTTTGGTGTAGATGAGAAAAAGTGTGTGAGCTCTAGATGCGAGGTGAGTGTGGTTAACAGAAATATGCGCGGGATCACACATGGTTGGACGGCACACAGGTCTCCAGCCCCGACAAAAGAAGTGGGTAGCTTTGGGTACCGTCATAGCCCTGGAACATGGCCGGGACATGGCCGAGACAAGGCCAACATCGTGACCCGGGCAATGGCCCGGCAATGGCCCGGCGATGACGGGATCACGATGTTGCTCCTTACTTTCACGAAATGCTAGAATGAGTAAATGTATCAACGGCCACGTTAGACGAACACACAGGCATGTCACAGCACCGGTATGACACACAGGCTGCACTATTTCTTCTGAGATCATCATGATACTGGTCTGATCAGGATCTTGGTGAGCGTACCGCGTCTCGGGTGTAGACCCGAAGAGATGCGTGCGTGCGCTCTACACGGGCATTTTTTCCAACGACACCTTTGTACCGCCTCAATTGGAAAGAGAGGCTCCTCTGCGTGCCATTGTTAGACTTAGTCTATAGGCATTCGAAACAAATCTGTGGGAAATTTGGACCACGCGTATCGTTAAAAACCCTCACAGGCTACACGCGGACAACAGTCCAATTCACCAAGGTGTAAAAAGAGTCAACGATAAATGTAAGCAGAAATGTGAAAACGTTTGCTTTCAACAAAGTTTAACACATCCCACAACATTGCTGACACGATCCTTCCACCACACCAAACGAATCTACAAGAAGCACCGCCATTTTTTCTTACTTCGTCAGTATCACCCAATAAGTCCATGTCTATCGAAGAAAAGAGTCAATGACACTGTAGATTATAAATGAATCCATAGCGTCAGCGAAAGTTCTGTTTTTTCACGATTTCCCGAGCAGCACACCGTAGTGATATCTCCCCCCTGGGTAACAGGGCCGACAGGACAGTATTATAGCTGTCTCGTGTATCTATCTTTGTGTTACGCTGGAAAGGTTCGGGAGGGAACAGGTTGGGTAGTTGGTTCATCGGGTGTGTGAATGTGTGCACGGTGTGCATTTCACAAGGCCGGACATGTCAGGTTTTTGCGTGCGTAGCAACGCATCGTTGTTTCAATGTGTAGGGGGTCACGGGAAAATATTTTTACTCCCCCCGTTATGTTCTGAGTCATGATATCCATGGATGGCTTGGTATGGGTATAATGTGGGTTTTTTATGTAGATGTTTTATTTGTTGTTTGATGTGGTGAGCCGTAGCTCGTTCTTACTTTGTGTCGTTCGGAGGTAATGTGGTGGTGAGTTCAACAGCAGCATCAGTCCCCAAGAAAAACAATCAACAACGGATAGTCTTTTGATTTTTTTGACAAACCGAAACAGTGACAAGGTCAGAATGCAACATGAGGGTATCAACCATTGTTACCGGTTGCTGTGCTACATTCTGCACAGCACTTGCATCCAAAGCTCACGCTTCTCTTCATATCTACACCAGAGACTCTGCACGCTCAGACAGATCCTTACTACATCAGTGTCCTGATGATCTCAGATGAAACGGTGCTGCATGTGGGTCATTCCAGTGCGGTCACATGCCTGTGTCACGAGGCCGATATTTTCTTTCTTCGTTCTGTCTTGTGTCGGGGCTGGAGACCTCCATGCGACACAACCATGTGTGATGTGTCCAACCACACTCAACTCGCATGTATAGTAGAGCTCACGCACCTTTTCGCATTTGCACGCAAGACTCAGTATGTCCAGAGAGATGCACCCCCACATCATCAGTGTCCTGATGATCTGGGAAAAACACGGTGCAGCCAACGTGTCGTACCGTGCTGTCACGTGTTACCTGCTTGGTGCTGTGTATTCGGTCCCACGCGGCCGTTCGCTTGTTGTCTGGCCTCTTCGATGGCGGCGAACCGCATGCAGCCCACAACTGCTAGTGTACAAATACACATCCGAAAACATGTCCGAACTGTATAGCTTCACGTCCGGAGTTGCTCTCCACGCTCTCCCTGACACCGCCAAAGTTGTTCATCGCTCTGCTCCTCGCCTGACACCGCCGACAATTTGCTCGACTACTGGTTGCAGAATATACAAGGCTAAAACCGAGGCGGTAGACATGCGACTCTCCACGCATGCATGTAGGCCTGTTCCACGCTGTCTTCCTATATTTTTTCTGACTCACTCTCAAAACGTCTTACCTCAATCAACATAAAAAACTCCATTATTTGTTTTCGACCTGCCGACGTTATTAGCGTAGGGTCTGAATGGCACACACCTCTGGGATGAGATTTCCCGTGATGACCTTGGTGCTTCGAAAGCAACCTGATGCCTCGCGTGGCACTTGGGAGAGTAGATCGGTGGTGCTTTCAACAGGCTCTGCCTTGTAGATGATTAGGTCCATGCTGGTCAGCGTGTTGGAGTAACAAGTCGTTGGCCACTTTGACATTGATGTCATGGCCCGAGCTGCATCGCCATCGTGGATTGGCACAACGACGGCCAACAGTGGTTCTTGAGTGTTGAAAATTCCATTGTTGAACCATTGATGTTGAAAGGGGTACCGCTTACATAACCACGTGGTGAAGATTCCGACCGAAAAAGCGGCCAGCATGACCAGCATGGTGATCGTTCGCCTTGGCGTTAGTACCATGCCGCCGTTGCACTCGAAGGGCGCCACGTTTCGTCCGAGAAAAACCCCGCCAGGGACGAAATTCGACGTGATAGAGAATCGTCCCCCCTCTAGTTGATGCGGTCTGCTGCTTTGTGGTCCAGACCTCCAACCATGCAACAGGCCCTGAGCAGACGTAGTGCGTGGGAACGTGGGGTGGCAAACATTTTGGGGGGTCTCTGACCGTAACCTTCGTTGCAGCGGCAATCCGAATCCGGTGGCAAAAAGAGCTAGCAAAGGAGATGTCGACTGTGGAACAATGTACCTCCTGGTCACTGGAATATGACAGTACGTGTACCCTGCGATTAGAAAGAGGTCGGGTTCTGCCGAACGGTGCCTTAAGAGCGCTTGACCCAGAATCAAACTGCCGTGACACCCTTGGTGACCGTCGTAACCCAAAAAGAGAGGGTGTCAAAGTCGGGCTGGCGTGAGGGCTCTTGCTCTGCCGTCAATGCCGAATCCAAGCGGTTTATCCTGTATATATAACGGTAGGCCCGGAAACCGCCTAGAGCTGGGGGGACATAACCCCGCCACCCCTACTGTTCCATACCATGCACACTCCAAGTTAACCATCTGGGGCGTGACTTCGATTGGCTTGCCTTCAGAGAGTGAACTCAACCAGATGTCACGATTTTCCTTGAAGGAAAAATGTTTCGCCAACATTTCATTTGGTTGGCAAAAGATCCCGGAAGATCCCACCGGGGGGACTACATGTAATGTGTGAATCGGTGGTGGCAAGCATATATATCGAGCTTTAGGTACAAATATAGCACAATCTTTGGGTGTGTCCATCCGTGGATACACCTCCTATCGTGGTGTACATGTTTCTTTTTTCATTGCTTCCTTTTTTGGACTCTGTCGTCTGCCCCTCTGGCCCATATCCTCAACTTCTACCAGCTAAAAGACCCAACCGGGGTCACATAGGAGAGGGTGGTAGGACCCCCTCATGCGGTTCCTGCCTGAGATATTTTTGTCGCGAGAAGGGTACAGCAATCCCTTCCCTCGCGACTTATGGAGTCGATCAATTTTACTAACAACGAGCTTTGCAACGCGTCGCTTCCAGCGGAGACCAGGTTTTAATAAGCGAGAAAGAACCCACTCTGTCGGGACTCGAACCCATGACCTGGCCCGTAGCAGGCTGCGCGGCTACCCACTAGACCATGTGTGCCCACGCAGCACCGCTTCAGACACAGAATTTAGAACCTATTCCGTTCGCGATGACCGCATATGAGGTTCTCGATGACACATAGCACCGGTCGCCCCGTTTGTTGTGGGTATCCTCGCAGCCTACTATAGGCCAGGTAATAGGTCTCTAAATAAATGCTGCTCTAAGTGGAAGCGACGCGCTGCAAAGCTCGTTTAAGTAAACTGGTCGACTTCATTGTCGACATCAACTTAGCCTTCGCGAGGGAAGGGATTACTGTACCCTTCTCGCGACAAACGTATCTCAGGTAAGCACCGCAGGAGTACGTGGGGACAATAGATGATTAACAGAATAAACACCCCGGCGTGGTTACCCCCTCCTGTGTGACCCCAGACCGTACGTCTGGCTAGTGCAAGTGTACCGAGTTCGCTGAAAAATTTAAGTGCACATACGCGGCAAACAGTGTGCACCGAAGAGGAGGAAGCAGGCGGCGCCGGAGGTGGGACGAAAAAAATATATAGACATAACTGCAGTTATGGGGTTGTCGATCGGTGGATGCTGCATGTTCAAAATCCGATATTCACGATCCGATCCTCTGTATCATCACGACACATACGGCGACACCTGCCTACACACCACAACGCTCGAAAACACGGGTGGGTTCACGCGGGTGCGGTGGATGCCAACAGAGAAAACGCACGTGCAATTGGTGCCGCGCGCGTGCAACAACGCCTGCACAACGACGTCAAACCCAAATCCTAGCAAAAAAAAATCCGTCTGCGCTTCTCCAAGTCGCAGATGGAACTGTGCGATTCCAGTAGTATATATATATGCGATTTGAAATCGCAGTTTTCCGGCAAATAACAGCACCGGAAGGCTTGGTATGCCCTGTCGGCCTGACTGCAAACAAACCCAAATCTCAGGAACTAACTGCAGACGATTTACAATGTGGACCAATTTCCTTATTGCAACTACATGTAGTTTGTCACCATCCAACAACAACCTGTTTGTCTGTCTGGACCTCACTTCCCCCTCAACTATAACTGCTGCCCTAAACACCGGCGACTACACCACGCGCTCCACCAACCCCGCGTATACAACAAAGAAGAAGTAGGAAACTATATGAACGACAAACGGCTCCTGCCAGAAGTTTATTTTCTGAGGATGACGCGAGTGGGTATGGATGAACGGCTATTGTTGTCGCCATCATGCCGTTGCATCCGGCGTACGACACCAAAATAATACCACGTATTGTATCTATGCATGTATGTATGTATGTATGTTGTATGCCTGACCGTGGGGGGGTCTTACTGCTTTGTTTGTGTTTTCGCGCAAAAATCACTCCCTTCACGGTCCATCCCCATCAACCACCAACTTCGGTTTCAACCAGCGAAGGCGAAGCTTTTCGCCTACGAACTGTTCGGGCGTTCAGAGAAACTTTTCGCCGATTGAGTATTTTTTCGTCCTGTTTGTCTTTTGTTCCTGCCGTACTGCAGAGCAGTACGGCCTGTAGCAGATCATGGGGATTTTGTTTTTATTCACGACCGAGAGCATTCAACCTTCCTCGCATTATCACGTTTGGTTGCTGCAAGTGACCGTCCTTTCCGCGGCTAGCGCGTGTTAACCGTGTGTTGAAAGTTGAATTTTCGGGGAAATTCTTGATTTTCACGCGCACGCACGAGAGTCCACCCTCAATCTCTGGGTTCATCTGCCTGTTGGGAATTATCGGGTTTGTTTGTTTGCTTCTCTGCAAGTCGGCGTCTTTTTCGCAGCTTTAACTACGTTTGTCTCAAGAATTTTATTATTCACATTAAACAACATATTCGCACGATTGAGAGCGAAGTATCTGATTGAGAGCGAGATCGTGCGATACGATGTAGCTTGTCTACTGCTGAGAGGTAGAGCTTGCTGTGCGGCTTGAATTGAAGGGCTTGCCCATAGCTACACGCCGATATCCGGGTCATCCTGCGGGTGTCTCGCGGTGTGGAGCTACACCGCGGAGCAGAAGCTACGGGAGGGCCTACCGCGCCAGGCGACGGCGCCCTGAAACAGTTTCGGGCAGGAATAGCCAATCTGGGGAAATCTAGCAACGTGCGTAGCTCCTCGCTGCTGCAGCCGATCGCAGTGACACGCATATGCACGCGAAGCTGCTGAAGAG